GATAATATCATAATAATCATAATATGGATTTTAATTGCAAATCAAACTTTCAATACATAAAATTAAAAAAAATTAAGCTTTGTTATATGTAAAATATGTTGAACAAGGTGCTTTAGATTAGGTAATTCAAGATGGTATCTAAGAGCTCTTTAGTTCAAAGCTTGTCGTCGTGAAAATTGTAAACGTGCTAACAAAATTGAATATAGACTATACTTAACAAGTAGTGTTTAAATACATAATGAAATAAAGGAAAATTCGTACGTTTCATTCCCAAACTTTGCAAAATGTAGCAAACTTGACCTTATACGTTTTTATAGCATAATTCATCTCCAACCTTTCAATTATATAACAAAACTCATCATTCCCTCCATTTTGATCATTAAATGACGAATTTAGTATTCTCTTTAAATAAATAGAAATAAAAGAAAGCAGCAAAACAATGAAAAACTACAAATGAAGTCCCTCAACTTTTCAAAAGGTGCAAATAAATTCCACTTAAAACAATCAAATACATGCAAACACACAAGGGCCGTGGAGCCCGAAAGAAGATGAACTTTTTTNTTAAAACAATCAAATACATGCAAACACACAAGGGCCGTGAAGCCCGAAAGAAGATGAACTTTTTTATGTGCTAATATGTATTTTATTGTTTTAAGTTGGATTTATTTGCACTTTTTGAAAATTTCATTTGTAATTTCCCCTTTTTTTTGTTATTTTACTAATTTTTTTTGTTTTTGTTTATTTAAACAGAAGGGTAAATCCGATATTTAATGGTTAAAACGGAGGAAATGACGAGTTTTATTACATAATTCAAAGGCTAGGTGAATTGTGCCAAAAAAGGTCTAGGGAAGATTTGTTACATTTTGCAAAGATTGGAAACAAAAAGTACAAATTTCCCTTAATAAATAGGTTCGTGGTCAATGACTAACTGTTTAAACCTTTAGACGATGATTCTAAATTATAATCATTTTTAAGCTGAAGGAAAAAAAAAAGAAAAAAGAAAATTATTGCAATAATACAATCTCCTCAAGGATAGAAAAAATTGTGAAAGAAACATACAATTTGCAGACTTGAACATTATTCACCAAACCCCTCAATCTGATGCATGAGAATAATTTCTTGATTAATATCTTTCATTCTAGCCCTCTGATTTTCCTATGTAGTTTTCTAGATTTATGGTAAAACTGGCAAACCTGCTCATACAGAATCAAATTATTGTTCTTCTTAAACGGGAATTTCAAAATCAGTTGAGCGAGACCGAGTCTAATCAACTGGCCACGACTATCAGTTTAAACTGGTGCTTCGCTTTTTAACTCGTTTTATTCCCAGTTTCAACGACACTCACTGCTTTATGATTCTTGAATCACAAAAGTCCCCTGAATTTCTGTTAATCTTCCTGGAAGTTCCATCTGCTGCAACTCTAACTTTCCTTTCATCATAATCTGAGATAACTGAAGAATAATCTGCAGCACTTGCCGTGACAACACTCCACTCGATACTGACCTCACTCGGCGCATACTGCGTTGTAGGACTCGGACTCATACAAATCGGCATATGATCAAGATCAGATTCAACTTTTAACTTCGAATAAGTGGTGCTTGATATATTTTCAATTTCGAATAAATCAGAACTAGCATCACTAGCCATGTCATCACAAATTGTAGTATTTCCAGGAGTAGAAATTGTAGGATTCTTGCCTGATTTTGGAATAGCATCCCAAGTTAACATGGAGAGTTTCCTCTCCAGGTTCCTAGCGACGCCTCCTTTCATAGACGAGCTGCACGAGCCAAACACTTCAAGTGATTTCCGAGGTTCGCCTGGTTTTTCTTCCTTCAACTCTTCCTCCTCAACAGTCAAATTTTTTGCCCCGGAACTGGCAGCCTGGAATTCGAAATGATCGACCCTTTTTGATCCAGCTCGAGTTGGCTTTAATTCATTGGTCATTACAGGCGCCCCAACTTCATTAACATGAACAAATTTCTTACTGAAACAAGGTCCTTGGCAAACAAGACCAGCAAAAAATCTCCTCCCAAACAGTCTTTTTTGCTTCGTTTGAGATGCTATTCTGGACGTACTCTGCAGCAACACATTTTGGCTGTTCATGCCACTTTCTTGAGAACAATCACTCAGATTTCTCGATACTACTGGTGGCTCTACTCTGACCCTACGATCCAGTTTCACGTTAAAGTACTTGTCAGCCCCAAATACACCGATTTCACCATCTTTACACATGGATCTTTCTAAATTTCTTGGACGTAGAGTCTCTTGAGGAAAACCGAAAGCCAGAGCTGGATCCTGAACCGGCCCCGAGACCTTAAAAGTAAAGTTCTCTCCAGCAGTATTGAGATAAGAAAATGAGTCCACCCTGAGACTCGTAAGTTTATCTTGGTTGTTGGTACTAAATGCTAACTTCTTAGTATCTTTAGCTGAGATGTGCACCAAGTTATCTTTAGCAGTGTCTAGGTAACAAGAAAACGAGGCAACACGCAGACTCTTGTTATCTTCTGTAGCCATGGATTTTCAACTTTGGATTCGAAGGATGGCTCATAAGTAGGAATATTGATATTGTACAGTATTATTAGGAAAGAAAAGAAGTTGAGTCCTATGCAATACTAGAATGGGACGGAGAGAAAATAAAGATGCGGAAACTTTTTCTGGATTGGCTTCATGAAAAAGCTGTTGGATTAAATAGAAAAGGCTGGAGATAATAAATATGTACTGAATGTTTGGTACAAGACATATTTCATTTTTAGAAGAGTAACAATATATGTACAAAGTGACGATGATTCTTATGTGAGGTGACATTAAATGATAATGATAATATTGTGAATCTCATATCTACACATTTAACTAGCATAATTACATGGAGATGATCCCCAATTTGTGCATATATCATCACTCCATCTTTTTTTTTTTTTGAGAACCGTGGATGTCCGGGCCAGTTTGCGCGCACCTCGACTAATCCCACGAGGCCCTGAAATTTACGGCCGAGTATTCACTTCAGTGGTCTTGAAAGGATTCGAACTGGTGATCATTGGAGAGCAAACTCAAGGTCTAACCAATTAAAAAACCCTTCAAGGTTAACTCACTCCATCTTTCACCCCACATCACTTGTCATATCACATGGGAATGATTCACATTTTGTACACATAGCATTGCTCTTTTTACAATTCTCACATTGACACACCAATTTGTTTTACAAGGATGGTTTTGTCGACACTAGATTTTGCTGGATGAGTTCAGTCAATGTCTCGAACCCGAAATTACGAAAACTTGCAAAACTAGGTTAGTAAGCTCGACCACTTTTGCTTTAATATTGTGCTTTTCCGAGCGTACTTCGTTCTGCTTATGAGTTTTAACCCTTTGGGTTCGGCTTTGTTCAACTTGCTAAGCCCCTGTTCGATGGAAATTAAAATCAGATTTTTACCAGATTTTAATAAAAGTTGATTAAATGTGTTATTGAAAAATTGTTGGTCTCATGAAATATATGGTTAAAATTAATTATTGACTTTGATTTTAATAAAAAATTTTAATTTTAATTTTTATCAAATGGAGGCTAAATTTGGTCCCGTCTTTGTTACCTCGTTGGTTTGGCGGGTACGAAGTTCCAAATCACTTTTTTGTTTTCCAAATTTTTGTTTTCCTTATATTTTGCATTTAAAATTTTTAGATTGGACAATATGCAGGTAGAAAAAGTCATTATTTGCACTAGAATCTTGGGTATGAATACATTTACTACTTTCACTTCAATTTAGGAATATAAATTTAATGAAGATCTTAAATTTTGGCAATACTAGTAGATAAAGAAGTGGCTCAAAATAAGCTTCAAGATCTATCTTTCATTCAATCTAACGAACCCGGACAATCTATAATGCATCTTTGGCTATGCCTATGCTCAAACAATTTACTTATAAATAACAATTAAAAATAAATTTATATCTTTCGTGGGTCAAAGTACTTATATTGAAAGTAATCCTACTTATTGTAAAAAATAATAATAATAATAAGGTCTCATTTAACAGGACTTTTACAAATATATATAAAATAAAAGGGTCAAAAGTAACTTATTAATCTAAGAAGTAACTTTTGATTTTTCAAAAGTCCTACCAAACAGGCCCCAAAAAATATCTAATGTTTGAAAATAAAATGTTACTTTTAAACTTAGCCAAACATGCTATATAGGGTCCATATCACAATGAATTGATTGTCTATATACATGTTCCAAATACTTCATGATATAAATGCTTCATGGAGATTGGTAGCTGGCATGAGCTATGACTGCATAAAAATATTAAGGCCATATCTGGGAGTGCTTTTCTAATCTCAAAAATTGCTTTTTTTTTTTTTTTTTTTACCGTTTTGTGGTAGCATATGGGGCCTATTGTGAGATGAAAAGTCAAAGAAATCAGCTGGCTCCTCTTGCAACGGTCCAAAAAGTAATTGAAATTGACTGCAAAAATGGAAACATACAAGCTCTAATTCTTCTTATTAATTATTTTTATTTCTTTTTTGATTTTTTTTTTCTCTATTTTCCACAATTTTCCCAATTAAAAAATGAAAATTAAATGCAACAAATATTTCCATATCGTGTTAGAAGAATCGATACCACGTATGTACTTGATCCAGCATGCTCTACTCAAAAGGCATTAACATATATCATTTTTTCCCTCGTAAAATCTATCCTTTTCCAATGAAGAACTGTCTTCAATCTTGAACTAAAATTTGCATAAATGCCACTTACAAAGTTACATTGTACGGCATAGCAAAGCCAAGAAAGAAAAATAATAGTAGTGAAAATCCTAGCATTAAACCAAAGGGGAGTGCTCAACACAAACATATGGCTGCCATCTGATCGAGACAAAAAAGAAAGAACGAACCAACAAAAGAATGAACAAATATTACTATAAGTTTTCCGTTCTGCTGAAAATGTAAACCTGATGTCGTACCTGAGTCAAAAATGGTAGCTCGTATTTTCCAGAAGTTGTCAAAATCCGTGCCACTTATCCTGCTGGTTTGGTGCTGTTTTCACCAGAAACCCAGTATTGTTTAACGGCAAATAATACCCTTTGAGCAACTCGTGGTCCTTCCTCATGATCCACCATTTTCATCTTCCACCTCATGCCCGATGCAATTCTCTTCACTTTGTTAAGAACATCAGCATTGTCACGGATTATAACTGCACCTTCTGGTCTTAAGATTCGATCCATTTCTAAGAGGATATCTTCTGCATTGCACCTACAAACTTTGCATTTTAGCAATTGAAATACCGAAATTGTAATTTTCCTTTTTTACTGATCAAGCTTGTATATAATGGTCATGCTGCGGATTTTGGGGTAATTTGATTGATCAATAATATCTAATCTGCAATTTAAATCCAACTCCCAAAGAAGAGCATTCGACTTTAACTAAATACCAACATTCGGGATAACTTACTTGTTCTTGTACAAGCTAAAAACACCGCTAGCATGAATAAGGTCGTAAGTCCTAGGGTATGTGGAGAAAGCTTCACACCTGCACGATAAGAAGAAATACGCCAAAAATATTACAGAAAAAAAAAATCAAAATGTTTCATTCTATGAAGAGAAAAAGTTAGAACTCATCGTGCAACTTAGCCCAAACTATGTTTTAACTATCTTTTAGTTTCGAATTATACGCAGCATAAAACAAAGTTGTTAAGGCGGTCCTTCTTTTTTTAATCTTTTCCCTTGTTCTTTCTATTTTCTTTGATAAAAATGCTCAAATCTGTCAATGGAAATATAGAGAAAAGAACAAAGCAAGTTAAATATCAAAGAGAAGTACCAATCATGATATATGCCGATCAAGCCTCTTTCATATATAACACCCAGAGTATCTCTCTCGGCTAGTGTTGGAACAACGTTCATTACCCATAATTTTGAAGAATCTATCGCTGCAGCAAAACTTCCTAAATAGGCATTCATATCCATGATATTGCGATACCTTCCTGTATCGAGAAGTTTATTAATCCTCTTATAAGATTCAACATACTTCTGCCACATTTTATTGTCTTCATAGAATGCATCAATAGAGACTCCAGGAATATCATCAGCCGCTATTCTTGGAGGAACGGCATTAAGTCTCTCTGGAAATGGCTTCAGTTTTCCACCCGCAACTTCATCTGAACTCAAAGTGTCGGGATAAGGTGTCACACACGTCTCCATTTTTTGGTACCTACAAGTTATCGTAAGATGCTTATTTCAAGCCAAAGAAGAAGGCATATAAATGTAAATCAGAATGATGGCATAAAACGAATTTCTATTTGACTATAAAAATTAGCAGCATACTGAGTGATAAATATCAACGTTTCGTAATGTGTAGAACAAACCGGCGCATATGAAATATTGTTCCCAAGAACCAAATGAGGTATGGCATGACATATATTTGAGAAAGAGGTAGTCATCATAGGTTCATTATGTGGATATCCTAGGTTCTTCATGGGAACCCTTGAGAATTAACCTATCTTATAATAAAACAAGATCTTCAAAATCTATTCCTCAAAGATATGCAACATGCGGCATTAAAAACATTTTTTACTTAAGAATTCTAATGAATAAGAAGTGTTCACCAAAAAAGGTAATTAACTTTTAAAATAGAGCAAGTGGAAATGCTGTTTGTTTGGTCCAATGTTATAGAAATTGATAGAATGTATAAATTATGAGAAAATATACCAGACATTGTTTACGTATGAGGCTTTGCACATAGAGGCTGTATCTCGCTCCATGCAGTCCATATTATTTATTCGTTTCCTCCATATAGCAATTTCACCCTTCTCGTGTGTCTTTTCCCAGCAAAGAAGTTTGGCAATATCTTCAATCTTCCTCTGTTCCTGCTCAAGTTCCTCTTTGGGACGCTCCCATGCTTGATAATTATTCCTCCAGTTGATAGGAGGACCTGAGAGTATCCAGTATCCACCTGGTCTAAGCACTCGATCAACTTCAGTCATGTACATCCCGTCTATAAATATGAATATGATTTATCATTATGCACTGTACAATAGTAAAACTATACCAGAATTATGTGTGCTGCAGTTTAGTCATTATGGATTATGAATAACAACCGATAAAATTTTATTATCTCAAACAGCCACATAATAAAACAAAATCTACAGAATCACTGTCCTCACCATTTGCACCCCACGGAATTAAACAACGTGAACAGTGAGCCATGTCGAATGCCCTGGATGGATACGGAAGCTTTATAGTTCCTAGTACACCAATAACTGCAGGAACACCTCTTTCAAGAGCGAACTGAACTTGTGCTTCATGCGAGTCTCTTGGAGCAAATGACATGGCAATGACATTTTTCTTAAACAGGTAGGCTCCCCAACTTGCCACCTAACAGGGCAGGGCATACACAGTATATCAATTATGGAAATCAAGATTACTAATAGCCCGTTTGGCAAGGCTTTTGGAAAGCAAAAAGTTGTTTCTAATATTAAGAAGTTGCTTTGAGCATGTTTGAATGGTTAGAAGAGCTTTTGGAGGAAGCGAGCACAATCTCACTTCCTCGAAAAGCTCTTCTACAAAAAACGCAGAAATAGAAGCTATCCAAAAGACGCCTTAGGAATGAAAAATAAATATAAGAAGTATATTTTTAGTCGAAAACTTCTGCAAGTAAATACAATTTCATAGTCATGTAATCATTTAATACGTCTCTGAAGATAAAAGGTGATGTAATGATGTTGGCATAGCAGGAAATGAAAACTAGGCACGAGAAGCAAATCAAGGATGAAATTAAAGGTCTTTCCTACTCTATTTTTTTTTGGGTGGACATAAGTAAGATTTACTCACCCCACATCCCGTATCCACAGCAGTTCTCACTGTACCATTGTCCATTGGGATCACAGCAGCAAGTTGTTCAATATACGCATCTGCCCCCTGGGGAAACTGTGTTCCACCTCCCGGGAACCTAAATACATCACCTTCATATTGGACCCAGTTCTGAACTGCCTTCTCAACCGTCAAGCTCTTATGGGGTGCATTTGCATATGGCACGTAGTCACGACTCTTAGGCCATTGGAATGGCGTCACGTATCCTTTAGGTGCTGGGATAAGACAACGCAACTTCTCTTCATCAGGTGGGCAATGTCTCTCTCTATAATTCATGTTTTCCCGAGGAAATGTCATCGCCCGCATTTGTTCTTGACATGGCGTATAATCAATGTATCTATCATCACACGGCTCAACTATTTTGACCTCGAATTTGGAGTTGTCGGTTTGGCCCATCTTGTCACCATGATGAGTTTTGAATTCAATGTTCGAAGGGATACTGCAGTCCTCGGCCTTCTCTGTCATTTCAAGGGCTATACTGTCTCCCTTCCCTGCTCCACTTCTTTTCCATGCTCCTAAAAGATAGAAGAAACAACAAAGACCGGCTACAATAAACATCGAAACCGAATTTCTAGTTCTATTGTCTCCGGGATTCCCTTTTGTAGCCATGATTCACCTGCAATATTTTTTTTTGACAAAGTCACTTAAAAGCATAGAAGAATGTTAAAAGTGAAAGCTCGAAAACATTCATTACCAGCACGCATTTTGCAAGTATGAACAAAATGTGTGTGATTTGTCCAAACTAACATGATAACTTATCAGAATCTAGAAATTCAAGGACCATTCTGTACCTCGAGCTGCCTTATAATTTGAGGTTAGCGGGTCTCAATGCCCATGAGTCAAAATCCACCTACCTAAAGGCTCTGGAATTTGCAGTAAGAATCAATTTCCACGTAAACGTATTGCTTAAAAGTCAATTTCAACAATGTGGCGAGTCATGTTCATTATTGTGTACGAACCTTTATGTCAGATTGATAGTATTAAAGAAAAAGAAGAAGTTCAAATTTGTCCTGTCGAGTAGTGCACACCAAACAAGTCATTAATGTCTAATCTTATGTAAGGGAAGAGAAAATAAGCAAATTATAGAACTATCTACTCGTACATTTAAGACGGCTCGCGCATAATCTATCCTCTGATTTCAATGCAACTTCACAAAAAAATAAGACAAGCTCTCAGGTCTACTAACATTTAACAAATATTCCCCGAATCTACAACATCAATAAAAAAAAAATCGCTTTTTTTTCTCTATTCCTTTTGATTCCAAATAATGGTTTCAATATCTCTTCTCAACAATAATGAAATATATGCCACTTTGTAATCTGTATGCATCATCTACGTTTGAATAAATGTATAAGAAAACAGATTCACCCAAATGGAAAAATAATCCCTTTTGCATGGGATAACAGCAAAAGAATACAATTATGAAGGGAAGAAAATGAAACAGTACAGAACAAAGAATTAAAAATGACAGCAGATCTGCATAAAGAATAAGGATTATTACAGATTGAAAAGAAACAGAAGTATTGAGGGCCCAAATGGATCGGAGAACTTTTTTTGCATTAATTGGTTTTGGAAAGGGAAATATGGATGAGAATTTGGAGGGAGGTTGTGGTTACTAATCTGAATGTGCGCAGTAGTATGCGCGTAATCTTAAAAGGGTCGTTTGGACATGCCATACTGGGCATCAGGATAAAACAAATTATTATTAAACCCCTCTTCGATTTAATTAAAAAAAATGATAAAAATTTAAGTCGATTTTAATCATATAAAGATATATATTTTTAACTAACTTTTATCAAAATCTCAAACAGATATAAAGAGCGTTTGCTTAATCCACGTCGTAGTTTATTCTTGAAACAATTTCTTAGAAATTTTACTTGAAAATATTCAAAATCCAGAGGGTGTTTGGTGTAGATTAAAATCAGATTTTAAGTGGATTGTGATAGAAGTTTTGAAATGTGTGGTTGAAAAGATGTGGGACCCATGAAAGATGTTGTTGAGTTCATTATACCAAGCATTAGATGCTTGTTTAAGACTATTTATTAGATTTGAAGGTGCAAAGCGTCAAGTTCAAGAAACTAAGAGGGTGTTTGGTGTAGATTAAAATCAGATTTTAAGTGGATTGTGATAGAAGTTTTTGAAATGTGTGGTTGAAAAGATGTGGGACCCATGAAAGATGTGGTTGATATTGATTGTTTGACTTTGACTTAGATTAAAATCGAATTAAAATTTGGCCCAAACAGCCCCCAAAATTGTTACTAACTTAAGTTCGTTTTGGTTACTTCGTTTTCTCATACCGAAATTGATTTTTGTGTGTCTAGGCCGGCTCAAGGTATTAGGCGACTTAGAGGATAGCTTAGGCTCCAAATTTTAAAATTACTTTTGCAGTTTTCGATTTGTAACATTTTTGTTAAGATCCCAACCAAATAAAACTCCAAATAGTTCAAGAATCAAGACTGTGCTTTTTTTTTAAATAAAACTACTTTACTAGAAGGATTTGATTGAAAACTTGACATAATTATATGTGACAAACTGACAATATATTATTGAATAGAAAAGTTGACTATATTTTAAATTGTCCAATGATAGAATGCCACGTGGCATTATATCAAGTTTTATATCAACCTTGATGTTCATGTAGCATGATTTTTTTTTTTTTTTTGCTTTTCTTTTTGAAGGTTGAAAATTGTCTCCTCCTCTTCCTTCGTGCAATCAATCAATAAAATCCAGACTTATTTTATGATTTAACATGCAATCAAAGTAGAAACTAATCTCTTTGAAAACAAATTTAACTCGAGATAAGCTTCCTCAATTGCTTTCTGAAGCTCAAATTTGGTGGAATTAAGGTTCTAACTGTTAGGGAAAATGAGTTATTTGTGTGTAGATTATTGATTAATATAACAAGTATAAATAATATTATTCAACAATAAACATATAACTCAATATAACATAAATATGAGGAGATTTAAAACGCAAATTTTAGGGAGTCGCATTAAAGACAATGTCCTAAAATCGTGTTGTCTTTTCTTCGTACAGGTACTTTCGGCACAACACAATTCCAAGACAATGTGACTCACAGTCAATTCTCCTTCTATAAACACGATCACGAGGAAATAAAGAACAAAATTTTATCGCGTTGCCAAAAGTATAGGAAAAGATAGTATGAAAAATAGAGGGAGTCCGGAAAAATTCAACCCCCCACATAATGTAAAAATTAATCCAATCATAGCATACATGCATATATTTAAGAATATATTATTACATTATAAATTAGGGTTTTGATTTTCTAATTAAATACAAAATTAAAACCAAAATTGAAAATTAAAAAAGTAAAACTGAAAATTAAAACTTAACTATAATTTTGAAATTAAAACTCATTTGTTTTTTATGTTACAATAGTCCCCCACAAGTTTTAAACTTTCAAAATAGATAACTATATATATGTGTGTGTGTGATAGTGACAACATAATACTGTGCAATAGGTGTAGGTGTCTTTTTGGATTTAAACATCACTTAGTGATAACAATTTTCATTTAAGGGAATCATAATGGACTAAACCTTGAATTAAGTCCCTTTGGCCAAACTTCAATTGTTTCACATACAATATCGTTTTAAGCTTTAGTTCATAGCCGATAGCGTTGTTAATAGCCGTACGCTCTAATCTTATATCTAGTAAGAGTCTATAGAGAATAGCCCAATCTCATAGCCATGACATCGTGACAATTCTCACATAGATGAGTCTTTTAAGGGTGCTTGTGACCCAAACTTTGCGAGAATTCTTGTCTTGATACTCATTAATGGTTAATCCCTTCCTAACATCACATCATTATTAGCACTATAACCATATGAATAAGCACAAATAAATAGTATTATTACAAGTCACGCAATATAGGTTGTTTATACCACATTGAACCTTCTTCATGAAATCTCTAATAAAAAAGGTTGGGTTACTCGTGGAGATGACTTCCTTATACCCGTAAGCCCATTCTCCTCAATGATTTATTATGTCCATCATGGTCTATATTTTCAAAGTTCTTATGTCCAGAATCTGCACATCAGCAAAATTTTCTTAGAAAATTTCCAAAATATCAGTGTCACATATTTGAGTATAACAAGTTATACATATGAAATTTCTAATATTGAATTTTATTTACACATGAGCAGATGCATCCATCAATTCTTGTAATTTAACTGCAAGCCTACAATTTCATTTTTAACACTTTTCGAAAGTCACCATTTNATATGAAATTTCTAATATTGACTTTTAGTAACACGTTTGAGCAGATACATCCATTTTGTTCTATTATTTCACCTGCAGGTCTATTTTTAACACTTTTCAAAAATCAGTTTTTCAATTAAGAATAATAATAAAATATAAGGTATATCTATTTGAAATTTTAAACACCTCCACATTCCAAATATATACATCTTAAATTAAGTAAATATATGATCTTATAATTTATCTCTTTCAATAGGATCAAATATTGTGAGGAGGTGGTTGATGCATATGTTTATAAATCCTACATATTCTTCATTTTCATCCACCATATTATTCACAAATTCTTCTTAAGCACATTCGCAAAATAAAATAATAAACACGATATACATTTCAATTTAGTGGCAGCTGAGCCACATTACAATTTTCATTCTCATTCTTCTACTCATTTTCAACAATATATTCTTCAATAAAATAATATTTTTCATCACATCAATAACTTTTTCTTTTGTTTTTCAACTACACATTCTTCATCAATCTACTATTCCAAAATATATTCTTCCAAATTAATGTGGCTCAAACACACCCTTAACATTTTCTGTTTGTTTTCCGAAGAACGTCTAATGCACGTTCAATCCATCTATTAGGTAGTCCCAATGTCACAAAATTATTTTATTCATAGATTTTCTCATGCACAAAATGCATATGTATAATTTAAAATGAATGGGAAAATATGTCTTGCACTTATATTTGGTATTTCTGCTGTCTTCCACTCAGAATTACCTGTATTGACAAGCATACATAACCCAAGACTTCAAAAATTAAAAACTTACATATCAGGTACAATAGCGTGCATGGTGCACCCCTCTTAGTTTTTAATTTTTATTCCTTCTTTATGTGTTGGGAGGAGTTCACAAATTAGCTCACAAGATCAACCAAAATATATATGCTAAAAGAAACCAAAATGAACTGTAAAAAATTAGCACAAGATAAACTGCAAAATGAAAGAAACGTGTCTTTTATTAAGAACGAACGAAGCCCACAAGCTGCACATCACAGTCTGTGCTTCAACCTCAAGAATAAACCACCATTTATGCTCAAATCAAGTCCCAAAGTAGAAATACAAAAGTAGACACCACACTAGACCAATATTTCACAAATACAAGATTACTCTTCAACTATAGCACACGGTTCACACAAGAACCAACACTCAAACAATGAAATCACACAAGATTACATGTTATTGAGAGAAAACCAGAAATCAAATGAGTATATTTGATTTCTACAGAAGAAGAAGAGGTCTCAAAGAAACGGCGCAGCATATGAGAAAAAATGGAAGAGTCTTGAAGCCAAAAAGTGTACAGCGATCCAACCCTAGAAGCCCTTTATAAGG